GTCCTCCTCCGCCACCAATGGTGACTAGAAAAAGTTTGTCGAGAATAAAAAACTCGTCATTGTGGTCCTCGTGCTTGACTCAGGGGAAAGAAAGTGGTGTGTAAAGAAAAAGCGTCAATGCAAAAGTCTCTGTTTTTGAAATTTGAGAAAATCCTCTCCAATTCCACAAACAAAATTAATGCCATTTCTCTGTAATACATAGTTGTATAAGAAAATTCAATGAGGAAGCTATTTAATAAGATATGCCGTATATATTTATAAATATGTATTTTTCTTGTCTTTGATCATTCTTTTTTAATACCACAGTTTTATCAGTTCGTATCTCAAACCAAGTATAGATGCTCTGTTCTATTTCCGTTTACAAGAAGGATTACGAATAATTGCAGTTATATTGTTGTTCTGATCCACAAATGCATCCAAAATGTATGAGAAAATTTGAAACTGATGTGATGTGACTCCAATCCCAAGTTATACGTTAGAAACATTAACTAATTTAGGCGCACTTTTTTCCTTCCCCCACTCAAACTGATTCTAAGTCAACTTTTGTTGTGTGACATAGCTCCAATGCAAAACCACATGTATCTTTATTTATACCAATCTTCTCTCTCACATTTTTATCAAGCAAACTCATTCTCCTAATAAAAATTATTCATGACGACCATATCAGAGTTTCATCTTCGTTTGTATTTTCTCTCGCTACTCTTACTCTGTTTTGTCTCCCCTTCAAGCTTCTTCCTTTTAAAAAATCCTATTGTTGGTCTTGTTGCTTGTCGCCCCCGCCAGATTCAAGATATTACGCAGTTCAAGAACGAGTTTGATAATCAGTGCCGGCTCAACATTTTTATGGGCCCTAGGGAAAAAAAAAATTTTGGACTCTTAGAAAAAAATTTGAAATGGTTTTTTGCTGTAAAAAAATTTTCTATGCTATTTTTGTTAAAAATATTAATTACTAATACTAAAAACAATAAATAAATAATTTTATAGACCTTTCTAAATTTTATTTTTGTGTTATAATCTAATTTTTTAATATTTAAAAAAAATATTTTAGAAAATGGGCCCTTTAATTATTGGACTACGGGATTGGACCCCTGGCCGTCGCACCGCCCGCCCACCCATCTGAGCCGGCACTGTTGATAATCGTAATTGCAACCATAGTGACCACGTCTCTAATGGAGTCTGGTGCAATAACTCTGAACTTGAATGAGAATCATCTCACCGGTTCTATTGAAGTACCCAACTCGTCTTCTTCATCAAGGCTAAAGAATTTGGTCCTTGGGAACAACCATTTCGAAGGACAAATAATAGAGCCTATCTCAAAGCTCATCAACCTCAAGGAACTCTACCTTTCTTTTTTAAACACAAGCTACCCAATTGACTTAAACCTTTTCTCCTCTCTCAAATCTTTGTCGGCCCTCGATCTTTCCGGTAATAGTATATCTCCGGCCAGTTTAAGATCAGATTCACTCATGCCGGTTACCCTGGGAGTGTTTTCCTTGGCGCACTGTGGAATCAGTGTGTTCCCAAACATCTTAAAGTCCCTTCAAAATTTGGAGTTTATAGACATATCCGAAAACCGTATCAAAGGGAAAATCCCTGAGTGGTTATGGAGCCTTCCCTGTCTAAGGTCAGTGAACGTTTTAGATAATTATTTCAACGGTTTCGAAGGTTCAGCAGATATTTTAGTAAACTCATCAGTTCAGATATTAGTTTTGGAGACAAACAGTTTTGAAGGAGCACTTCCCAATCTACCACTCTCTATCAACGTCTTCTTTGTGTGTTCTAATAGTTTCACAGGGGAGATACCTCTTTCAGTCTGCAACAGAAGGTCGCTTGATGTTCTTGATCTATCCTACAACAAAGTCACCGGTCCAATTCCTCAATGTTTGAGTAACTTCACGTTTTTGAATCTCCGAATGAACAACTTGGAAGGAAGTATTTCTGACGTCTTCCATGCCCGTGCCTCTCTACGAACACTCGACGTTGGTTACAATCAACTAACTGGAAAGCTTCCAAGGTCTCTTCTAAATTGCTCCTTTCTAGAGTTTCTAAGCGTTGACAACAACAAATTCAAAGACAAGTTTCCTTTCTGGCTCAAGGCTTTACCAAATTTGCAAGTCCTTACCATGCGTTCCAACAAATTCTATGGTCCTATATCACCTCTTCATCAAGGTCCACTCGGATTTCCTGAGCTGCGGATATTTGGGATAGCCGATAATAAGTTTACAGGAAGCTTGCCACCAAACTTAGCCTTTACCTTATTCTAGTCAACTTTTGTTGTGTGACATAGCTCCAATGCAAAACTACATGTATCTTTATTTATACCAATCTTCGCTCTCTTATTAAGCAAATTCATTCTTTTTTTTTTTTGATAAAAGCAAATTCATTCTTCTTATAAAGTTTTCATGACAACCATGTCAGAATCACACACTACAAAAAAAAAAATTATTTTACATCATTTATTTTTAATAAATGTTTTATTTATAAATATATGATATGGTACCAACTCACTTATATATAGATTATGATATACTGTTCATAATATATATATATATATATATATATATATAGAATCTGGTTAAAATCAGCGTTAACTCTATGTTGATCAAAAAATATTTCAAAACTATTTAAATTTTAATTAAAAAGTATTAATAAAAATGTAAATGAATTTATCTTAAAAGAATTCTCACAAAATTCCGTTTTAGAAACTTAACCTTATCCAAAGAAAAAGATAAATAAAAAGAACGATTTATAAACTTGAAATATGTGAATGTATTATGTTATAGGTGGTGTAGTTAACAATACTCTCTCTGTTCATAAAGAGTGTCATTTTGACACATTTCACACATATTAAGAAATAAGTTAAATATACAAACATACTCTTATTTAATATACCCCTAATAATTTAAATACAAAGGATTTTAGTTTTGGATAATGAGCAAATTTATAAATTAGTTACAAAAGTTGCATTAAAAATGTAAAACGACATTCTTTTTGAAACAATAGAATAACTCAAGAACGACACTTTGTGAAACAGATGAAATATATATAAAGGGATCTATTTATTTCTAAAAATTATAAATTCTTCAAAATATAATTGATTTCACTTTGTTTGTTTGGTTGGATGAGATCAACTGGGCAGACAGGGCAGTTGGCAGACATAAATAAATTGTCCAATGACAAGTGGACCTCATTTAATCAGTGTATCGCTTCATGATTTAAGTGGCACGTAAACGGTAAACCATACTTCACGTAGCTTTAACTTATTCAAAGTCAAGTTGCTCCAATGTAAACCACATATCTCTATTTATACATATATCTTCTCTCTGACTATTCTTAAACCAAAACCAATCTTCTTTAAAAGTTTTCATGACAACCATGTCGGAATCGCATCTGCGTTTGTTTTATCTCTCGCTACTCCTACTCTGTTTTGTCTCCCCATCAAGCTTCCTCACTATAAGTAGTCCCGGTACAGTTGCTTGCCGTCCCCACCAAATTCAAGCATTTACACAGTTCAAGAACGAGTTTGATACTCGCGGTTGCAACCATAGTGATAGCGGAGTCTTGTGCGATAGCTCGACGGGTGCCGTCACAGAGCTACGGGTCAGGGCATGTCTTAGTGGAATTCTGAAGCCTAACAGTAGACTCTTCGGGTTCCATCAGCTCCGTTATGTTGATATCAATTACAACAACTTTACCTCCTCTTCACTCCCTTCCGAGTTTGGAAATCTCAACAAATTACAGGTTCTGAGTCTTTACTCTAATGGCTTCCTCGGCCAAGTTCCATCCTCCTTTAGTAACCTAAGTCTACTTTCCTTTTTAGATCTTTCCTATAATCAGTTCTCTGGAAATCTGAATCCCAACAGTAGCCTCTTTGGGTTGCACCACCTCAGTTACCTTAATCTCGCTTATAACAACTTTGATTCCTCACTCCCTTCCGAATTTGGTAATCTCTATAGATTAGAAACCTTGTCTCTTTCCTCTAATGGCTTTTCTGGTCAAGTTCCTCCCATAATTAGTAACCTAACCCAGTTAACCCAGTTGTACCTAAACCTAAACGAGCTCACAGGTAGTTTCCCACTTGTACAAAATCTAACTAAGCTCTCCATTTTAGATCTTGCCACTAATAACTTCTCTGGAGCCATTCCTTCTTCTCTCCTCACTATGCCTTTTTTATCACATCTGATCTTAAATAAGAACCATCTTACTGGTTCTATTGAATTCCCCAACTCCTCTTCTTCATCAAGGCTACAGAGTCTGTTACTTGGGAACAACCATTTTGAAATTCAAATATTAGAGCCCATCTCAAAGCTCATCAACCTCGAGAATCTTGACCTTTCTTACCTAAACAGAAGCTACCCGATTGACTTAAACCTCTTCTCCTCTCTCGAATCTTTAGTGGGGCTCGAGCTTTCCGGTAATATAATATCTCATGCCAGTTTAAGTTCAGATTCAAACATCCCATTGACTCTGGAATCATTGTCTTTGGAGCGCTGCGGCATCAGCGAGTTCCCAAACATCTTAAAGACTCTTCAGAAGTTGGAGTATATAAACTTATCCCACAATAGAATCAAAGGGAAAATCCCTGAGCTACCACTCTCTGTCGAAGTCTTCTCTGTTGGTAATAATAGTTTCACAGGGGAGATACCTCTTTCAATATGCAACGAAAGCTCTCTGGAAGTTCTTGATCTATCCCACAACAACTTCACCGGTCCAATTCCTCAATGTCTAAGTAACTTCAAGTTTGTGACGCTCCGGGGGAACAACTTTGAAGGAAGTATTCCTGATGCGTTCTATGCCGGTGCCTCTCTACGGACACTAGACGTTGGCTACAATCGACTAACTGGAAAGCTTCCAAGGTCTCTTCTAAATTGCTCATCTCTAACGTTTCTAAGCGTTGATCACAACAGAATCGAAGACACGTTTCCGTTTTGGCTCAAGCCTTTACCGAATTTGAAAGTCCTTACCCTTCGTTCAAACAAGTTCTACGGTCCTATATCTCCTCCTCATCAAGCTCCTCTCGAATTTCCCGAGCTGCGGATATTTGAAATAGCTGATAATAAGTTAACTGGAAGCTTGCCACCAAGTTTCTTTGTGAATTGGAAAGCATCATCTCTAACGATGAATGAAGATGCGAATTTATATATGATACACAGTGAAGTTGGCTATAGATTTATGGATTTTATTGATTTGAAATACAAAGGTTTATCTATGGAGCGAAAATGGGTCCTTACTTCTTATGCCGCCATTGATTTTTCTGGAAACAGACTAGAAGGACAGATTCCTGAATCTATTGGTCTCTTGAAGGCATTGATTGCGCTCAACTTATCGAACAACGCATTCACAGGCCATATTCCTCTGTCTTTCGCCAATCTTATGAATCTCGAGTCTCTAGACTTGTCAAGAAACCAACTCTCTGGCACTATTCCGAACGGAATCAAGACCCTCTCGTTTTTGGCGTACATAAATGTGTCTCATAACCAACTCAAGGGTGAAATACCACAAGGAACACAAATCATTGGGCAACCTAAATCCTCCTTTGAAGGAAATGCAAGGCTTTGTGGTCTTCCTCTCGAGGAAAGTTGCTTTGGCACTAGGGGACCTCCAATGCAGCACCATAAGGAAGAAGATGAAGAAGAAGAGGAACAAGTGTTAAGCTGGAAAGCAGTGGCAATAGGATATGTACCTGGAGTGTTGTTTGGATTGGTGATGGCACAAGTCATTGCTTCATACAAGCCGGAGTGGCTCGCCAAGATAACTGGTCCGAATAAGCACAGAAGCCGTTAAGAATGTTTCGGTTTCGAATGTGATCCTTCAATGGCTGTCAAGTAGTTGTTGTTCTTGTATTGAAGCATTTCCGTGTTGGTTATGTAGTCTTTATCTAATGCTTTGTTTTGTTTATTTTTTCTCAGTAGTCATATTCACATACATCTCTGTTTTTTCTATACGCCGTGTTGGTTTTTTAACACAATAGATAATAAATAAGGCGACTGAAGGAAACAGCAAAAACTCAACATTAGATTTTAGATTACAAAAAAAAAAACATATCATCACCATGAGCACAAAGACCTAATCTATATATAAGCAAACCCCAAGGGCTTACATCTATT